GCCGCCCGGCCTTGCAGCTCTCCCCGCCTCCCGGCCCCGCGGGGAGGGACCGGCCCGCCCTCCGTGGAGTGTGAGCGGCGCCCGGGCCGCCCAGCCAGCCCGCCGTTCCCCGGCCGCCGTCCGGGCGCGCGCAGCCAGCGGGCGCGACTATGCCAAAATGGTCCTGCAGGCGCGGAACAAGCACCGGGAGGCGGCCCCCAAGCCGCCCCAGCCGTCCCGTGCCTCGCAGTCGCCGCTGAGGGGGGCGCCGGACGCCGGCGCCGGGGAGCCCGGGCCCGAGCGCGCGCTTCAGTCCCTCGGGCGCAAGGGCGCCGCGAGCAGGAAGGGGCCCCGCGCCGAGCCCGCCGCGCCGCCCTCTCGGGGCGGTCTCGGGGGGAGCCTGGCAGCTGGGCTGCGCGGGGCGCTGGGCCTGCGGCGCGCGGGGCGCGGCCGGACCTGGACCACGCTCCTGCTAGGTGAGCAGCCCCAGCGCGCGGGCGCCGCCGGACTCGGAACTTTGAGGCGCGGGCCCCCAGCCCTCCACTCCCCTCCCGCCTCCGCGCCTCCGAGCTCCGCCGGCCGGTCCCCGCCAGTTTGTAGTCCTCTCTGACTTTTCCTGGGACGCCCTTACCTCTTTCTCCCCTCCTCTCCCCCTGGCTCAGCCCGCCTCCTTTCCATCCGACCCGCTCTGTGTCTCTGCTTTAAAAAAAAAAAAAAAATGGCCCCGAGATCAACAGCTGCCCGGCCTGGCCGCGAACTGGCAGGTCTGCGCTAACGAGACTCGGGCGCTGCTGATGGGCGCGGACCGGCCGCCTTCCCGTTATCCTGACCCCTGGCCCGGAGGGTACTTTGCTTTGGGTTGGAAGAGATTCCATAGAGCTCAAAGCAAAAGCATGTTCCCTGTCTTAGAAAGTTGCTCAACTTACAATTAAATTTTAGCGTGTTTTTTTTTTTCTTCTTCTTGGCTGCAAACACCGCCGGTGGCATTTGCTTTGTGATTTCTCCTCGGCAAGTCACTTTCCAGGGTGTTTTGGGTGCCCAGCTCTGAACCCCTCCCTGCTGACCTGGGGACATGTGGTGTGGCGGACTCCCCTCACCTCTCTCCCCCTGCTGCTATGCACCAAATGGATGATGTGTAAGAAGGTGCTGAACAACATAAAGTTGAAACATTCACAGGTTGTGGACCGACGTAAGGTTTCCTTTGTTCCCTGATGTGCATTATGATAAGGCAAGTCATTGCAGTTTGGATAACAGGCCTAATTTTTCTAAGTTAAGCCAGTCAAGTGCTATAACATTGCCATTCCTACATAATGCCATTAATGGGCTTTGGCTACTGAATTATTTAACTATTGGTGATTTATCCCTTATTAGCTTTTCAAATTCCCTTATTGACCCAAGAGAATTTGGAGTTCAATATAGGCCGAGAAATAGAACACAGCAAATTGACTTTCCCTGAGATCACAGCCACCGGTAGAAGCTATGCAATCCTAAAAACCCAGCCTCATTGCCTTGCGTGTGTGTGTGTGTGTGTGTGTGTGTGTGTGTGTGTGTGTGTGTGAGAGAGAGAGAGAGAGAGAGCATCCATTCATGCAATCACTCATTTTATTCATCCAACAAGTGTTTTGTTTGGCAAGCTAGTCCTAGACAAAAGGCAATTCCTGAATCCACGCCGTCCATGTACAGGAGACAGACTAGCAATCCTATCTTTCAAATATTGAACCTCTTTTTCCATGTGTTTTTCTAATTATTTAAAAAATTAGGGCCGGCCAAGTGGCTCAGTTGGTTAAGAGCTCGCGCAAGAGTTTGAGCTCTGAGTAATAGCGGTTTGATGCCCGGCCCAGCTGAGCAGCCGCTGAGCTGCCAATAGGTGGCAGGAGGCTCAGCTTAAAAAAAAATAAAAAAGTCAACAAATTATTTGTATTACCTTCAATAGATGTTGAATTAGGTTTATTTTAATCTAATGGGTAATAAAGTCAAAATTAATCCAAGAGGGTAACATTGGATCCATTTGATACATTGTTTCAGAATCCAAGCATTCCAATAGCACTTTTATTTTTTTTAAAAAGTGTCTAAAAATAGTACCCTGCTCCAATTAAGACATCTGAAAATGCAAATTCAGGAAATATAAAGTACAAGGTATTATTAATTAGCATGGCAAGAAAAATAATTTCCCTTTACAAATTTATTGTCCCTTAAAAAGGCATAATAGCCTTTTTATGAAAGTCGGTGATCTTCCTTAATGAAGAAATCTCTGGGCAGAGAAATTTAAAAGGCTCCACACACACGTGAAGAACCTGGAAGCACAGTGAAGATAATCAGAACGATGTGGCCTAAGGACAACTTTTTGGAACAAGCCCACTGGACGCCGCAAGGACAGGGACTTCTCAGGCATCCAGGAGGCTTACAGAGCTCTGCGCATGCGGCTTGGAGGGGAGAAGGGAGGGCTTCCTTTGTAAACGCATTCCGAGGCTATGCCAAAGAAAATACGTTTTCAACGGAAGTTTTCTATGTTATCAGCGAATAAAATTTTCCTGCTTTCTTTTCAGCCACAAGGTTACAGAATATGAAACTAACAGAATGTACTTGATAATCTCCCCTTCTCGGGCCGTTCAGGTCACTGTTATCACCTACAGCCTGGGCTCCCACTCTGGTTTTCTGTTTACGGCACACTTGTGCCTCGACCCTTCTCAGCCCTCCCTGAGAGCTCTGTTGTCACCGTGCGTCTGGCTGCACCGCTCGTCGCATCCGTGGAGCAGGGAGGTACACCCGCACCGTTCTAGAATAAGTTGCGAGGCCACCCGTAGCGGAGCGAATGTTGGACAGTGGCTCGACTTTTACCCACTCGCCTTCCCGCGGCCGGGCCTCCGAGGCTCCGGNGTGTGTGTGTGTGTGTGTGTGTGTGTGTGTGTGTGTGTGTGTGTGTGTGTGAGAGAGAGAGAGAGAGAGAGAGAGAATGGGCTCAGAAAGATGGATATTATTAGCGTACTTTTTTTTCCTATTGTAGATTCAAGCCTAGGAAAACTCAGTCTTTTCAGTACTGTACATGCCTCATTTTTTTCGGTAGGGAGCTTGAAAAGCCTTGCTGCTGTGCAGATTAGGTAAATTCACCTTGGGGAGGCAGCATGGTACAGTGGATGAGACAGGCTCCAGCTTCCGCCCACAGCGGTGAAGTTTGGTTTAAGTTTCTTGCAAGTTACTTCCTTAGAGAACCTTTCCTTCTCTGTGACAGGGGATTACCACCTCCCTACTTCCTCCATGGGCATGTCCTGAGGAGCAGAACTAAAGCGTGGGTAAAATAGGGGAAGGCACTTTGCATCTAAAGTGTTTAATAAGTTTTAGTTGCTGTTATGAAAGCACATGCATAATACCAATTTGAGATCTGGTGACAGGATGAAGTTGCCTTTTTCTTGAATGGCTAGTAGAAACATTGACAATTTTGTAGTGAAATATTGGGGAGGTTACAATAATAAATCAGGATAATATCTATTCCCATTTTCTTTTGTGCATGTTTTCTTGTAATTGCATTTCCTTTGAATCTTTTAATATTGGATGGCTTATCTTTGGGCTTAGTAACCATACCTAACTACAGTGTTGTACTAATGTAAGTGTGGCATTTTACTTGACCCACCCCTTTGGCCATTGGAAGGTGGTACAGTGAAGGGGCTGTCCCATATTCTTGGATGTGCTCTGGCCACTGGCCACCGGATGTGTGGGGCCAGATGACCACACCAAGGTCTAGAGACTTTCTGTTTTGCTAACCATCTACATGAGGCCACAGTGCAGCTTGATGGATGAGGGATGTTTGGGTCTTTCTCTGGCCCTGTAATCCTTGGACCCTGCAAAGCGGAGTGGAGTGTGTACGTTTTTGAAAGCCGCCTCATTTCTTCCCTTCTTCCCCCTCCCAGAATGAGTGAGAGTTGAGCCCACCCTGTGCGGTTCTTTAGTATGGATGGGACTTGGCTATGACAAAAATGGCTTCGTTTATGTTTAGGAAGAAATTTTAAGTGGCTCCTTGATAGAAGCACAAATTGTTAAGGGGTAGAAACTGACTAGGGCTCCTTAGCCTGGTTACTCGCATCTCTTCATATGTGCTAAGCACTGGCGAGGGTTCACCAGCTACCACGGGGGCCTTTCCACTGTTGGGCAGCGTTAAGCACTGTTTAAAAAGCCATGTTAATAAGCATCTTGTTCTTATTTTTGGGCATTATTTACTATTTATGTAAAGGAAACAGTTGTGAAGAAGGGTTCTCGAAATGTTTATTTTTAGAGGTCTCAATCCAGTAGCTCCCTGTACCCTGCAGGGGAGGCAGTGGTGCAGTAAGAACCATGACAGTGTTTCTCAGGCTTTATTGATTCCAGTCCACAGTAAGCAGCACGATTTACGCGAAAACTGCTCACACTTCCGAAAATGCAACTCAGTTGATACATGCATGTGTCTGTCTATTTACGGATGTCAGTGTCCTGGGAGGAAATGATTTAATAAAAGGACTCTTTTCTGAAGCGTGAGCAGGTTTAAGGAATTCACAAAGGATTTGGAGGCACCCAGGGACTGTCAACAGTGGGAAGGTGCTACCACCTCTGGGCCTGAAGGGAATGGGGGGTTGTATCAGGAGCCGAACCCAGGAGAGCTGTGCTGTGGAAGGAAGCAGGCTCACCCGAGAAGAGTGACCCCGCACACTCTCCTCCAGCCCGGAGATCTGCTGGCCTCTCTCTGGCCGATCAACTGCAAACTCTTAGGCCAGGGGCCCAGCTCCAGGTGTTGTGTAGGATCAGTCTCCTGGGCCTGGGAACAAGGCAGAGATGGGAGGAGAATGGGTTTGGAGAGGCAAATGGAGACTAACCAGCACCTATGTGGGTATATTTTACTAAAACAAACTGTCATGTAAGAATACTTACCCCCACAATGTGCAGTACACTCTGATTTTCTATTCTGTTCTCTCTCTTTTTTTAATGCTGGCCCTTCAGCTGATTTCATATCTAGTGTTAGGACCCGTAGTTCGAGAGCACTGCGTTCCGATTCCATACCTGCTTCACCCGAGTTAGGTGCCTGAGCAAAGCATTTAGCTTCTTTGAGTCTCAGTTTGTACACATGTAAAAATGGAAGACCCAGACTAGACTAGTGGTTCTCAGTCTTTGCTTTAAACTATAGTCACCTGGCAGCTTGAAAACTCCAGGTAGCCTGGCCACACATCGGAACAATGAGATCAGAATAATTGGGTGGGGGTGGGATGAAGGAGGCATCAGTAGTTTTAAGGTCTGAGGTCCTGCTTCTTTAGTAACAGACTGTCTGGCATCACTGAGCTGACCTTCCGCCGTGGCAGTAATCCCCTGGAACTAAATAAATCTCCTCCTCCCCTTTTAAACAGGGACACAGTGCAGTTTGCGAAAGTTTGTCCTAATCTCTTATTTTTCCAAAAATGGGGCTCTGAGTTGCCATTTATCATCTGATGTGGCTGTTATTTTAGAGTTGAGAGAA